GAACACAGACAGACAGAGGTAGGTGGACGCGTACTCAAACAGTGAGCTGTGTGGGCAGTGAAATACAGAGGTAGGTCTATGAACACAGACAGACAGAGGTAGGTGGACGCGTAAAACTGGATGAACAGCGATATACACAGGTAGGTTAATTCACACTCCAAATGTGATCTGTGGACAACGGATCAAAGATGACGAACAGATCGGTGGTACGTACGAGGTGCAGTTGGCGATGCATGTGCTATTGTCTTCTTCGCTCAGCACGAAGCTCTTGGGGCACGCGCACGTGCGCCCGCCCTCCATGTTGAGTAGACACAGGTTAGTGCAGCCACCGTTCTTCTGACACGGGTTCGTGCGGTTCACTGCCAGAACATAAGAGAGAACAACAGGATTAGCGAAGTGTGTTCCGACGTGAGGTTCACTGCTGGAACATCGCGAGAACGTTGGATTAGAGAGTTCTTTCTCACTCTATCTGTCTGTCTGTCTCTCTCCTGTCTTCTCTCTGTCTCTCTTTCTCTTTTTCTTGCCCCTACCTCTCTCTCCCTCTTCCCTCCTCCCTCTCGCACGTACTCGGTGGCTTCCGCAGCGGGTGCAGTATCTGCAGATCCATCGGGCGGTGCACCATCAGCGTGACATTACGCGCCTCCCTCCCCCCTCCTCCCCTCCCTTCCTCCCTCTCTGGCCTCCTCTCGGTACGTACGCGGTGGTTGGGCAGCGGTGCAGTACTGCAAGTCCAGTCGGCGGCTGCAGCCATCAGCGGACAGTTACGCGCCTCCCCCTCCTCGCCTGTCCTCTCTCCCCCTCTCCTCCTCCCCTCCTCCCTGCGCCTGCCGCCTCCTCCCCTCCTCCCCCCGTCTCTCCTCTCTCTCTCGTGACGTAACGCGGGTGTGCTGCCGCAGTGGGTGCAGTATTCTGCATGTCCTACTCGGGCGTGCACCATCAGCAGTTGAACATTGACGCGTCCTCCCTTCGCCGCCTCCCTGCCCTCCTCCCTTCCTCCCCCTCTCCCTCTCGTACGTATCGCGGTGCGTCCGCAGCGGGTGTCAGTAATCTGCAGTGTCAGTCGGGCGGTGCACCATCAGCCGGACCTGTACACGCCTCCTCCCCCTCCTCCCCGTCGCCTCCTCCCTTCCTCCCTCCTCCCTCCTCCCCTCCTCTCCCTGCATCTCCTCCCTCTCGTGACGCTACGCGGTTTGCTGCCCGGCAGCGGTGCAGTACGCCTGCAGATCGCATGCGGGCGGTGCACCATCAGCGTGACATACGCGCGCTGCCGCCCTCTTTCCCTTCGCTCCGTGCCTCGCCTCCCTCCCGTCCCGTCCCCCCTCTCCCTTCGTGAGCGTACGCGTGGTTGGCGTCCAGCGGGGTGCCAGTATGCGTGCAGGTCGCATCGGGCGGTGCACCATCAGCGGTCGACATGTACCCCTCCCCTCCTCTTCCTCCTCCCCTCCCTCCCCCTCCCCCTCTCCTCCTCGCCTCCTCTCGCTCTCTCCTCCCTCTGCGTAACCGGTACGCGGTGGCTGGCCGCAGCAGATGCCAGTATCTGCCGAAGTCCATCGCGCGCGGTGCCACCATGCAGCGTGACATTGACCGCCTCCCCCTCCTCTCCTTCCTCCTCCGCCTCTCCTCCCCCCTCCTCCCCTCCTCTCCGCCTCCCTCCGCCTCCTACCCCTCTCTTCCTCCCGTCTCGTTACGTGACGCGGTGGTTGGCTGCCAGCGGGTGCAGGTATCTGCAAGTCCAGTCGGGCGTGCACCATGCAGCGTGACGTTACGCGCGTTCCCCCCGCGCTCCCTTCCTCCTCCCCCTCTCCTCCTCCCTCCCGTCCCCTCGCTGTTCTCCGGCCTCTCCCCTCATCCCCTCCTCCTCCCTCCGTAGTACGCGTTGGTGCAGCAGCGGGTGCAGTATCTGGCAGGCAGTCGGCGTGCTCACATCATGCTGTGACCGTACGCAGCCTCCCGTCCCGTCGTCTTTGCTCGCCGCGTGCAGCATCTCGTCTCCTCAGTCCGGACCATATGACGTCGTTCTCTTGAACAGCTGTCAGGCGCGAAACATGTGTCTGGTGGACGCCGTGCGCGAGCGAGCAGTTCGGCCGCCGCCGCCGTTTGTTTGCGCGGTCAGGCGTCCGAAGTAGGTCCCGCGCGCGTCGCCCCAGTGACAGGCGGTCGGTCGACGTAGTCGACGGTGAGCCGTTCGGCCAGCGAGGTTTTCCGTGACGGACATAGGCGACGTCGTGCGCCGTCCAGGCCGCCGCGCCGAGTAGGGAGTCTCGTCCCCAGTCGTCCAGTACATGCCCGGCTGCGAATGAAATAATAATAACAAATAAATATAATACAATTCCTCGTCTCTCTCTTTCCGTTGTTTCTGCTCGTTCCTCTCTCTCTGTCGCTGGTCTTTGCCTCTCGTCCTCTCTCCGTATGCTCTCGTCTCAAGCTCTCGTTCCTGCTCTCTCTCTCTCATTCGCTTCCTTTCCCTCTCCTCATTCCTCTCTTGCTCCACCCATCTTCTCTCTCTCTCCTCTCGGTCTCGTTTGTCTTTGCTCTCTGCTCTCTATCTTATCTTCTCTTCTCTCTCTGTTCCTTTCCTCGTCTCTCCTCTTCTTCTGCCACACCATCTCTCTCCTCTTTCTGTCCCTCCCCTCCTTCCCTCTCTCCCCCCCTACTCCTCTCCTCTCTCTCGCCTTCTCTCCTCACAGTCAGCGTACCCGGTCGTTGGGTTCACTTTACGATGGCGCGTGCTCCATCAAGACCTGAGTTGATGAGCACGCGTTGCGAGTGCCGGTCTAGTCGCTCGGACACCTCCGCTTTCCCTCCCCCCTCCCCCCTCCCCTCCTCCCTCTCTCTCTCTCCACACACAGTACCCGGCGTTGGGGTTCCACGTACGATGGCGCGTGGCTGCTGTCAGACCTGAGTTGATGATGCACCTTGCGATGATGTCTTGCCGTCTAGGTCGTGACACCGTCGCCTCCTTTGCCTCGCCTTCCCCTCCCCCTCCGCCTCACCTCTCTCGTCCCAACACACGGTACCGCAGGCGTTGGGTTCACTACGGAGGCGGCGTGCGTCTGTCAGACCTGAGTTTTGATGAGCACCTCGTGCGATGCTTGGCCGTCAGTCGTGACACCTCCCTCCCCTCCCTCCCCTCTCCTCCTCTCCCTCTCTCTCTTCTCGTCACACGAAGTACCCGCATGGGGTTCACGTACGATGGCGCGGTTGGCTTCCGTCGTAGACTCTGAGTTGATGAGCACCGTTGCGATGCTTGCCGTCAGTCCCGCACCTCGTTCGATCCTCCCGTTCCCGTCCCTCCCCCTGCCTCCTCCTCCTCTCTCTCTCTCTCACCATGTCCTGACTTCACGTCCTCGGCCTTGGGGTCACTTAACGATGGCGCGGTGCTTCCGGTCAGACCTGAGGTTGATGAGCAGCCTTGCATGCTTGACCTTGCGTGCTAGTCGCCGACACCCTCTAGTAAAGACGATGCCTCCTTCCCGTCTCCCTCCCCGTCCCCCTCCTCCTCGCTCCCTCTCCCTTCCCTCCCCCCCTCCCTCCGCCCCCCCCTCCCCCAGTCCTCCCTCTCTCTCCCTCGTCTCTTCCACAGCACGTGACCCGTCGTTGGTTGACCTAGCGATGGCGCGTGGCTCATCAGACCTGAGTTGATGACACCGTTGCGATGCTGCCGTCTTAGGTCGGACACCGTTCCTTCCCTCTCCGTCTCCCTCCCCCTCCGTCCTCCTCCCCCTCTCTCTCTCTGCCACACACGACGCGCGGCGTGGGTGACTTACGATGGCGCGGTGCGTCCGTCCAGAGCCTGAGTGTATGATCGACCTTGCCGATGGCTGCCGTCTAGCGTGACCCCCCCTCTCGCTCCCTCCCTCTCCCCGTCCTCCTCCTCCCTCGTCTCTTCTCGCTCTCACACACGTCCCCGGCTTGGGGTTGAGCTACGAGGCGGCGTGCTGCTGTCAACCTGAGTTGATGAGCTACCGTTGCGAATGCTGCCGGCTAGTCGTGACAAGCCTCCCTCCCCCCTCCATCCTCCTCCGCGTCTCCTCTCGGTCCTCACCACACGTACCCGCTAGTTGGGGCGTTCACGTTACGATGCGCGTGGCTCCGATCAGACCCGAGTTTGATTGAGCACCTTGGATGCTTTGCGCGTTAGTTCGGCGACACGTGGCCGTCGATCGTCGCTCCTCGTCCTCCCCTCCCACCTCCTCCCTCCTCCTCTCCCTATCCCTCCCCTCCCCCCCTCCCCCCCCCCTCCTCCGCTCTCTCTCCCCTCTCCTCAACACGGTACCGCGTTGGTTCACTGACAAGCGAGTGGCGCGGTGGCTGCCATCAACCTGAGTTGATGAGCACCGTTGCGATTTTGCGTCTAGTCGTGACACCTCCCTTCCCTCCCCTCCCCTCCCTCACCCCTCCTCCTCCTGCCCTCTCTCTCGTCACACACCGGTACCGCGCGGTTGGGGTTCACGCTGACGATGCGCGTGGCTCCGTCAGATCCTGAGTTGATAAGCCGACCTTGATGCTTGCCGTCTAGACGCGACACCCGTGCCTTCCTCGCATCCCCCAGTCCCCTCCTTCCTCCTCCTCTCTCCTCTCTCTCAGCTACGTTACCCGGCGTTGGGTTCCCTACGTATGTGCGCGGTGGCTCCGTCAGACCTGAGTTGATGAGCACCTTGCGATCTGCCGCGTATTCGTGATCAGCCTCCCTCCCGCTCCGCCCGCCTCCCCCTCCTCCTCCTCCCCCTCCTCCTCCGCTCTCTCTCTCTGCCACACACTGTACCCGGCGTTGGGGTTCTACTAGCGATGGCACGGCTGCCGTCAGACCTGAGTGATGAGCACCGTTGCGAGCCTGCCGTCTAGTCGGTGACCCTCGATCGTGTCCGTACCCGCTGTCGCCCAGTATGCAGGTGCGACCAATCCAGTCCACAGCCAGGCCGGTCCGGTGTGAGACGGGAGTCTGTGCAGCAGCTGCGATGTAGGCAAGTAAAAACACAGAGACCACGGTGTTTAGCAGAGAGCATGGTAATATACAAGGTGTGGAGTGTGAATATATCTGTAAGTATATATCTTTACGGCCAAATAAAAAATTGTTTTGTTGCCCTCAGCCCGACGACTCGCCCCCAAAAAGGCATGAGAGATAGAGAGAGAAAAAGAGAGGAATGAGAGAGGCCTGTAAAGACGATGAATGTATCAAATATATATAGTATAATATGTATATTGTCTACTATTACATCATATTAGATTACTACATATAAGTACATCTACTGATTACATATATATTATATTAGAACGGACAACAATTAAAAAATCCGCCGCCTCGCTGGCCGTCGAAGGCTCATGCTGTAGTATGGTGGCTTCCTACTCTCTCTCTCTTCACACTCACAATCACACTCGTTACTCCACGCTCCGTGTCGGCGTCGCTCTCTCTCCTCTGCTCTCCCGCCTCCTCTCTCTCTCTAGTGGCTCTCTCTCTCTCTCTCACAACAAGCTCCGCTGCCCACCTTGTGGTCGCGCCGTCCGAAGTCTCAGCTGTAGATGTGGCTTCCCACGGTCGGAACGTCGGACCAGTAGATGCGCCGGTTCCGCCAGTCACAGTCGATCGCGACGCCTTGCGTTCTCGAGGTCGAGCGAGCGAGGTCTGGGGAGCCGGTGGTCAGGC